AAGGAAAAAGTGTGCTTGTTTTCCCAAATATGACAAAAATTATCAATTTTTCCGAGTCAATGCAGCTGCTATCCCACCAGCTAAAAGCCCAATTGCAGTTGCTGTAATGCCAATTCCAATAACACCGTCTGCAATGCAAATCGAGAAAAGTGCAACTAGGGTGTTCATTCGTGCTCACAATCGAGAAAAAAAAGTACAACTAGGGTTTTCATGCTCGGCAAGCTCACCTTTAGTAATTCGATCCTCCACGGATTTCTTTAGAGAAAGAGCTTGCCTCCAGTCGGGCGCAATCTGAAAAATGCATTTGTACATATTTGGTCAAGTTTTTTGAACGATTAGTAAAACCATGTTCGGGATTTGACCTTAATATATATATAGAAACTATATGATTTTATCAGAATCACTGGCACCTATGGATTTGCTTGCTTTTCCAGAGTCAAGTATCTCATATTCGATCAAAACAGGTAAATGGATATGAGAAACGAGTTTAAAAAAGGAAAAACGAAACCTCTAAGCACTTGTCTAGAAGCTGTCTGCTCCTTGAATAGCCTCCACTTCTGTAATATCCAACGGCCAGCAAATAAAGTTTTTCTCTTTTTTGCAACGGGCTATTGGCATTGGTTAGTGAAGCTGCAATCAAATTCATCACAAGCATTCAGTTAAAATGCCTTCAGATAATAGAGCAACTCGAATAAAGACCGAGACAAATCCAAAAGAAATAAACTGGAAAAAAAAATATATACCAAACAAGATTTTCAAGGCTGATAATCTCATCCTCTGCAATTCATATCTATTTAGTATAGCAAAAATGTAAATTCACATACTGTCATTGATCAAGTTGCCCTAACACAAGATACAGAAAAATAAAATAAATAAATAAATAAATATTAGAATTTTGATAAAAAAAATGTAAATTCCCAACCACTCTATAGTCTACATGCATAGTTAAGACAAAATAAATGCAAAATACTATGAATTGTGATCAAAATTTGGAATTTCACCTTCGAGCATGGCTATCCCTCGTTTTACATCTTCAGGTTGTCTGGAATGAACGAGAGCCCACGACAACCGCATAATACTTTCGTTTACCCTATCATCCGATCCCTCTTTTTTAGCCTCTACAATTTCTCTCTCGCAGCCCTGTGGTAGTATTGAAAAAATAAAAAATAAAAAGAATCAAATGAGAGCATGAAAGACAGATAATCACGGCGTATTAACATTGCCTCATTTAAGAATGAACCGAGTTGATGAAAATGAAACATTGATTGTTGCCTTCGACACAATCTTTCGTCAGGCCACAAACAGAACTTTTTCAGGTTCTTAACTTTTATCTTGCAAACATACCTTTGAAACACATTTGCTTTTACCAAAACTTTCTTATATTTACTTAAACATCCCTAAAAAAAGCTTCAAAGACAATTATACAGTAAACTTCTTTAACATATAGATTTTTCCTAGCTGCAAATATGAGCAAAACATTATAAAGAACAGAATAAAAACTTGAGCTTTGGTCAAGAATGTATCTTTCACAAGCGAAATTGAGAACCCATATCAATAATAAGGGGATAAACACAACAATAATTATGAATTCAAAAAAAAAAAAAAAACCTTCTCTAAAGAAAAACTTGAGCTTTGCTCAAGAATCTGTCTTTCACAACTGAAATTGAGAACCCATATCAGTAATAAGGGGACAAACCCTAACAACAGTTACAATTGTCTAAAATTCCAATAAAAAAAAAAGTGAGGAAAAATTAAAAAAAAAACAATAATTATTAACAATAGAACAAGAAGGGAAATGCTACAGTCCCGTTATGGAACCATTCCGTCGGCATTTGTAACCGTTAGATCATCATGTAACCGTCGGGGATAGTTGATCTAACGATTACAAACTTCGACTGGTTCCGTAACGGGACCGTAGCGTTTCCCTAAAAAGAATTAAAGGGTTGTAAGAAAATGGCGTACGAGGACAACATCAGGTGTCGACCAAGGGATTTGATCTCCACCGCCGAAGAAATTAGTGACAGACTCGAAGAATTGATTAATCTTGGCCTCCATATTCTCGAGCTCTAAAGGTCTTCAATGGAGTCTATGGCAAATTTGGAAAAAAAAAAGGGAAGAAAATGGGACACACGTCTTCTGATTATTATTTTATTTTTTTACATAATTTTTTATATATATGTTTTTCAAATAAATCATCATTCATAGAAAACAATAGATGGATGACTCAACAAAAAGATGAGCCTATTTATGACTCCACTCATTAATTTAACAAACCTTGAGCTCGTTTATCATATCAACTTATTTAACTCTGACTTGATTATAATAAAATGTTTGAGGTTGAACTCGATTTGTTTAAGCTTGAATCAATTTATTTTAAATATTTTCATGGTTTAAAAAATTAAATCGGACTGGCCAGTTCGAACGGTTGGACTGAGAACAAGTTAATTAACCAGTTCAGTTCGTTGGAATGAAGCGGGTACCAGTGAATTGGTCAAAAATCGTTGAACGACCGGTTGGACCCAGTTCTCATTTTGAAATAAATTTTAATATATGTAAAAATATTTTTATTATAAATAAAAATACATATTTACGCATAATGGATATGTTTATATATATATATATATTAGTTAATTTAAGTATTGAAATACTTTTACTTATTAGTTAATTTAAGTATTTGAATGTTTTAAATTGCCTAAATATTTTATTAACAAAATTTTTATACATAACTTTTATTATATAATATTAATAAATAAATAACGGTTCAATCACGAGTCAGACCAAATAAACTATTGAACCAGTAGTTTGGCGATCCAATTTTCAGAACCTTGTTTATTTCGATTATATGTTCTACAAAATGCTTATTAAATAGAAAGATCAACAAAATGCACATCTTATCACTATTTAGTTTTGACTATAACAATTTATGATATAATGAAAGACAACAAAAATATAAACCCTTCGCCACCAATGTTTATAAGTCCACCTATTTTATACTTTTCACAATGCACACATCAAGATCATGTGATATACATGATTTTATTTATTTATTCATTTATTTCTAATTTCAATGAATTAAGATCGCAAAAAATGAAGTTAAATACCAGCAATCAAGTTTTTAATCATATGCATATGTAGCTAAGGGTTCTTCAATATGATTACAAACTGGCAATCAACCCATTTTGTCTTAGGTTCTTCATTATTAAGTGACAAAAGTACAAATATCATGGCGCTAACAAAACTATACTAAGCAAGAACCATTATCATACACAAGCACACTAAGATAGTTCGTTTCGTTTGCCACACATTCGGCTGAAGAACTTGTCGAGTTCCTTGTCGACTATGAGACCAAAATGTCGATTAATATGATCTCCTCATTGTATGAGTTTGCTGTAGTCTCACTCGCTGCACGAGTTTTCGCTCGAACAAGGGCTAAATATGCACTGGATAAGCTTCGTCTACTATTTTCATATTCAGTAGCTCGACCCCTTTTTCTATTTTTTTTTTTCAAACATTATTTCCTTCAAGGCTTTCAAATATGTATGTCACTAATTTAGTAATATATTATATATACATGAGATGCAAAAGGAAAGTTAGAGCAAGATTTTGAACTTCAATTGCCAAGTTAAGACTCTTGTGTTTAACTGTAACTTACTGTCACTGGCTCACAGCAAAACATCATATTTTTTGCACATTCCATATAAAGAGAGCAAACAGATCATAAAAGAAGAATCTTGACATCAAACTCCAACAAAAAACAACCTAATTCATCATATGGCACTACTCCATAAATCAAAGGGCATGGTAAATAGGTATACATACAGTAATACAAGTCAATCAGGACAAATACACATAAATTACAAAGGAGAAAAAATCGAAAGCATACAAACATTCATTGTTTATCCCGTAACAAGTTATTGATCATACGTACCAAAGGAACCGTACCTTTGGCCATAATCTCCAACCGAGACGCATTCGACGCGTGCCCGAAAAGCGAGAGCCCAAAAAGTACAAGCTCGGGAAGAAAAAGCCTAGACGACAAAAACCCGTGCCAATACCGAGGTTCCAAGTCGAAGAACGCGTCGAAAAACCTCCTCGTCGAGTCCAAATCGAGCTTCAGCAGAATATCCATCCCGAAACAGAAAAACTCCCTCTGCCTTCTCCTCTCGATCGGCCACAAATCCTTCCAAACCTCAGCCGAGAGCTCATTTCCCAAAATGCCCCTGCTTTTATCCAAGTACCGGACGATAGCACTCGCGACAATTGGGGCAGCCGCTAAAGTCCTAGCAACCATATACCCTGTGGAAGGGTGCACCATACCAGCCGTGCCCCCAATCCCGATCACCCTCTGAGGCAAAACCGGGAGAGGGCCCCCCATCGGGATTACACAGCGTTCGTCCTCCTCGATGCTTTTCACTTTTATGCCCAAATGCCTCAACCGGGCCACCATCCTTTCTTGGATATCGTTCATGGATAGGCCCGGACGGGCCACGAGAGAAGTTTCTTCCAAAAATATCTTTTGTGACGAAAAGGGCATCGCGTATAAAAAAGTCGGAATCTTTCGGTTCCTCTCTTTGAGCTCGTTATTTCCGTCGAGGTGCGAGTCTCGCCAGTCCATGAAAACCATTTTGTCCAAATCGTACGGGTGTTCCTCGACTTCTGCTAAAATCCCGTACGCCACTTGATAACCGGGATTGTATGGCTTATCGTACTTCACCAAGCATCTCGAAAAACCGGTTGCATCAAGAACTACAGCTGCTTGAATAGTGACCCCATCATTACATATCAAAAGGGACTTAAATTCTTCATGAATCACCTTCAAGACTTTAGCTTGGTGAAATTTCACCCCGTTCGAGATGCATTTTTGCATCATTTTCGACTTTAGCTGTTTACGGTTAACCCTCCCGTACGGCCGGTCGAGGTCTTTGGTCGATTTCTCGTTTATATACACGACGGCGCCCGTCCAAGTGGTGTCGAGACAGTCGAGCAAGTCCATCGCCTCAAATTCATCGACCCACACGCCGTAATTGTTGGGCCATATGAGTTTTGGAGAGGGGTCTATCGAGCAGACGGATAGGCCAGCCTCGGAGACTTGTTGGGCCACGGCAAGCCCGGCGGGCCCGCCGCCCACGACAGCTAGATCTACCACGGGGCTTTTGGAGGGGTCGTATATGGGGAGCTCGAATTCGAGGTTTTCTTTCTTGGTTTCGGGCACGAGCTCGAGAAGGGCACTCGAGCTGGCATTTGAACAAACACCTTTGTGGGGTTTTTTGTGAGGTTTTAATGAGGTAAAGGGGGTAACTTTATCGGAGAAAAAGTGGATTGGGGGCAGAAATTGGAGCTTGTTGTGGGTCTTGAGTAGAGTACCCATAGTTTTCTAACAAGATAAAAGTTTTTGCAGCAGAATCTGAATGTTTCAAGAATTTCGTAGCTCTAAAATCAGAATCTTGATGAATCTGCGATGGTTTCTCATAAGATTTGCTTGCTAAATTGGAGAAAATAACAAACGATGAGAGGAATTAGATTATTTTCACTTACTCGAGACAAAAGTGGAGTGAAACTGAAGAACCTCAATTTCGAGCTGGGAAGATTTTTTTCAGACAAACCATGAGCAGAGCTTGTGGTGGACACTGTTCGGCGATAACTCTCAATAATGGGATAGAGCAACCATCCACATCCTTTTTCCTGTTTTCGCCTCTCTCTCTCTCTCTCTTTTTTTTTTTTTTTTTT